GGGATGGGGGCTGGGCATGTGTCGTCTGGCATCTGTGACAGGCGCGGGGAGGTGCGGGCTTGTGGCTGCCCTGGGGGGGCGGCCGCCCCCCCCCACACACACACACACGCATACCCTTGCCACCCGAGCGCCGCGTGCTGCTCGCACGCACACCACGCGCACGTCCACTTCGTCGTCCCCTTATATTCCTCACCTCTCCCCGCGCCCCCAAAAACCAACAAAGGTGTCTGCCATCATGGAGGAGATGGCTGACCAGCAATTCAAGCAGATGCTGCTGGCGTACACCCTGCTGCTGCTTAACCAGGGACCCATGCACGTGAGCGCCCCTCACCACTTCTCTCAGCACAACACACACATACACACACGCGCGCGCGCGCACAGACGCACGCATGGCAGCCGCCCTCTCTAACAAGGCGGTGGGCAGCGGCCTCGTAGGCCCCGCCAGGGGCGCAGCGCCGCGGCTGCACCCGCGCCCGAGCCGCTCCTTGCGTGCGCGCCGTGCGCCCGCCACGGAAAGCGCGTTCCTTTGCCTGTGCGCTCTTGCTGCTTTGCATGCGAGCGCCGTCGGGGCGGCGCTCCTGGTGCCCCCGCTGGCGCCTTGCCGCACGCATGACGACAGCGGCCAGCGCGCGCCCGCCCCACCCGCTACGCACCCCCGCCCTCAAACCCCAGATTGACGACCTGGATAATGACTGCGAGGAGCTGCTGGTCAAGGAATTCGACTCACGCATAGACTTCCAGGTGAAGTTCGCACCCGCCATCCCCCACCCCTTCCTGTCCTCCCGCCCGCCCGCGCACTTTCTCCCTCTCTCCCCCCCACCGCCGAATCTCAATCATACCGCATGCGGACGCTGATGCTGGCCCGCAACACCTGTGGGCTGCGGTGCCGCCCGCGCGCCTGGTGGCCGCGGCCCCACCGCGGCCCACGGCCCGGGTGCGGCCGCGCGGCAGCTGCGGCCTGGATGGCGGCGCGCGTGGTTTTGTATGCTGCCTGCTTCTGCGTGACGCGGGGCGCCGCGGCGCGTCCCATCCCCGCAGGTCACGGATGCCCTGCCGCGGCTGCAGCGGTGGGGGCTCGTCTCGTGCAACGACAGGGTGAGGCTGCAACTCCTGGGGGAGGCCGCGGCTTGGGGAGGGCCGGCGCCGCCTCCCGACCTGCCCTGCACCTTGCAGCAACTGTGCATGCCGCTGGACCGCTGGACTCTTGCTTGTTCCTCCCCTTTCCACCATCCTGCCCAACCCACCCTTACACAACACACACACACACACACACAGGACGAGCTCAGCGCCTGCCCTTTGACCGACGCCATCGACACTTTGACCGCCGCCTGGACCATCGCCTACAAGGCCCTCGGCGGCGGCCACGCCAGCAGCATCTCCACCTACGACCTCCTCACCGGCAAAGCCTCGACCTTCGGCGCCGGCCTGGACCAGTGGCGCAAGGACAAGGCGCACTTGCAGGCGCTGACGTCAGCGTCGGAGGCGGACGCGAAGCGCGGGGTGTTTGGCAAGGCGAAGAACGTGCTAGGGTTTGGCAAGGGCAGGGGCGGTAACCTGGACGCCGACGGCGGCAGTGAGGGCGGGCTGGGTACAGAGGGGGGTTCGGTTGCGAGCGGCGCAGAGCTGGAGGAGGGCGGCAGCGGCGGCGAGAAGAAGAAGAAGTTCTCGCTGAAGAAGCTGCTGGCGTGATGTGACGTCACCGCGCGACGCAACCGTGCGGCGGCGGCAGCGGCTCTCGGGGGTGCGGGGCCGCGGCAGCGCCGCCGCGCGCCAC